TGCCACCTAAGAAGTTTGGTAGATTGGTGTGGGGGGTACCAAAGTCAGAAGCCCCATTAGCATATGGCTACTGCTTGAATTTCTCCACTGAAAATGAAGTGAGATATGTAAAGGCATGAAAAAAATACATTATGATAACCGTGAAAAGACATTGTAAAGAAATGTTGAATTTGCATTAGTTCTTATAACAATAAATATTAAATGAAATAGTAAATATTGAGTATATACAAGTATATTCACTAATTGACAAATTAATAAATCCAAAGCACATACATTCAAACAAGAAAAAATAAGTAAAAATAAGTAAAAATAATTTAAATTGTAAAACATTGAAGTCATAGATAGAATACACATGTAATGTAATGATGTAAGTAATCATTATGTAATTGACATTAAAAAGCATAATTTATTACAAGTGTTAAAGAATTTGTAAACAATACAATGTCTTAATAGTATTAATAGTGTTGAAGTTCATGGTTTACTGATGTTAACAAATGTAGTAATTAATCTCACTTTAATGGAAAGCATTATCAAAAAATCACAGCACACTGGAAGGTAAGAAAGAAGGAAATTAAATACAAAAAAAAATGGACTTTCAATGTATAAGACAACAACCACAAGCATCTAGAAGATGTAATGTTCATAACACTAACATTTAATCTTGCAATTTCCAAAATCAAATTGAACTGCTTACCCTATTATTTCCACATACATTGTAAATCTGCCCTTTACTGTTATTTAAATACAAATTACCCACTGATTTGAAATAAGCATACAAAACATGAAATCAATACAATGTTTAATTATCACAATAGCAAAACTACAGGTATGTGTTTTGATAATCTAAATTACCTTATCAGACACCGTTATCAGCAATAAAGAATAATTCGAATATTTTGATAACCTACATCACCATCAGAATGTAAGGAGTAAGTTTTAGTTATTGAATCTGTACTGATTTAACATTATACACACACAATAAAATGTTAGATACACTGATACTACACTAAACTAATGGTATGCAAATGCTCGGTAGGACTGCTAGATTGGTCAGACAAATTGTTCAAACATCAGTGAAGTGATGCACTCTGATAAAAATGACGGCGTCTAACAACACTGCCAGTGAAATGAGGGTGGCTAATAAAGTGGCGGTGCAGTGACGGTGAAGCCACAGTGCAGTGCTGGTCGCTAATGAAAGTGGTGGTGCAATCATGGTGAAGTTCTGATGAATTGTGATACCTTGTCAAAACATACTACCATCCCACAAATGTATAGGTCATTTCTTACTTTAACCAGGGTAAGATGTTTCAATATCTTAAATCACTGTATCCAAAAATGGTACAAACATTACTACAGGTAGAATAGCCTAGATAGCCTAAACCCCAGAAAATGTTACCAATATTAAACTAATGTTAGGATATTTTGATAGCCGAAATCAGCTTATCAGGGAGTTATAGAATATCTCAATTATCTTGTGTCATCTAGGGAGAATTTATATTGGGAATTGAGTGAAAACACGTGGCAATTTAATCTATTGTTCAATCTATTGTGAACCTTTCCACTGTATGTAGTTCCAGTGTTTCCTGGCATTGTTTTGTGTTCATTGATTGTGCGCGTGTGAAGACCTGATTTGTCAAATGGCACATGAATTTGAAGGGAACTGAATCAGATGCAATACCGGTGCTAATAAAAGTGGTGGTGAAGTGGCCGTCGAAAGTGAGATGAACCGACGGTGCACTGCCGGTCGCTCATAAAAATTGCGGTGGAGTGGCAGTCGCTGATTGAAGTGACGGTGAAGTGGTGGGGAAGTGACGGTGGAGTGGCAGTGAAGTATTGGTTGCTGATGAAAGTGATGGTGGAGTGGTGGTGAAGTGAAGTTGAAATGACAGTAGAGTGGTGGTGAAGTGAAGGTACAGTGGCAGTGCAGTTGCGTAGTTAAAACCTCTGAAGCTGTTTAGCCAAACCTGTTCTAAACTCAGACTAAACTACTGTTAAGCTAATGACAGAGCAGTAGCTCAAATTACTCTAATAAAGCTGAACAGGAAGCACTAAAGCTAGTGGGCAGAACCCCAGGAGCTGGGAATGCTATTGGCTCAAGGACACTATAGCTTTTGTGAGTGAAGCCATCAATGTTGGAGAAGCTGTACACTAAGCACCAGAGCCAGTGGATTAATCCTCAGGGTCCACACACAAGCAGTACTCTTGCCAGCATCAGTGATGCGGTGGACAGTAGAAAGAGTGGAACTGTGACTGGTGGGTCATGGACCAGAAGTTTCATCCAGCAGAGAGTCTTTTTTAATCTCCATGGCTGGACAAGCCATTCTCCAAAGTGGGACTGGGAATGAATGGGACCCTGCTTTGTAGAAAGGCTGCCAGATATGGTGTACTGGGTGCACACCTTTGGAGGCCATCCTTGGGGCCCTTCAAATTGATGCCCTACAGCACCCAAACCACACTCTCTAGCTACACAGAGAACTCACCAGGGTGCCTCTGATGCACCGCACCCCCTAAAGGCCTCAAGGCCAATGGAGCCAGTGACTTCAGAATATGCATTTGCCATTATGAAAAAAATTCTAAAATGAATGTCTATAAATATAGTATTCAAAAAAGTGAAATATTTAAATACTTGTTTAAAATATTAAAATATTTAATCAAATTTCTTTTTCTCAATTCTTAAAATTGATTTTATTTCAGGACAGCATAGTATTTTAAAATGATCACCAGTCTTTAGAATTATCAATAGTGCACAACATGACATTCCCAACACCTAACTCAAATACAACCTGACAGCACACGTATATGTGATAAGTTGGATTTTCATGAACAGTTCCTGTAACATTTCTACATTTTTGTCAAGCATTTTTCCTTGATTAATTATCATATATATATATATATATATATATATATATATATATATATATATATATATATATATATATATTTATATCTTGAATAAGGAGAGTTACATATGATAAACATATAAAAGAATGATCACCATCACTCCTTATACATTCCTTTAACATACATGTATCATACATCAAAATAAACAAATAATAACTCGTGCTGTTGGGACTCTTATTATGCACATAATCTGTTTTGTAAGAAGCTCTCCAAGGTGCTGAAGAGGGGACCATTTCCACGTTAATGCCCATGGATTAAGAATAAGAGGTTCAACAAGCATATAAAGCTGAGATGTATGGGTGTACCTAGTTTTTCTCCAATGTTTGGTCAAGGCTAATTCCCTGTCCACTAGCTATGGTTTCACTTTTGTTTGGAAAGTTATTTGGAAAGTCTTTAACAAACTACCTCTAGAAAGTTGGTAGATTCTCAACACTGTTAAGGTGAGCGTTAATACCAGGTTTTGTCTTAGGACCAGAGTGAGGGTTAAGTTAAGGTTTGGGGTGAGGTTAAGATAAAGGTTAGAGTAATAGATAATTAGTAGAATTTAAGTTAAATGCAACACAAACATTTATGAGATATTTAAACCGAGCTATCCAAATAAAGTTTTAACTAACCCCACCCCCTTGTCACATGTGCTTCTTCTGAGACAAGTGAGCCATGACTTTTCTAACTGCTCCTAAAGGAATGTCCTTGGAAAGTTCAGCACATTACTACACGCTTCAGCAAACTAACTGCCAATTCAGTTACGTCAGAGGCTCTCCATGGTGCTGAAGTCACATCTTTCAGCAGACTTGCATATCCATGTCTTTGAAAGTGTGAATGGAAGGAGGAAAGTCTTCACAGTTCTCCAGCTGTACCTTGCTGGATTTCACTTAAGAAATAAGTTGTTCCAGTAAAACAATGACTCAGTAGACAATATTATGTCCATAAAGTAACATTTTTTTGAATTTGATGTGGGAGAATTTGTTAGACGTGCATTAATTTTAATTTGACATTATACAATAGTATATAGTATAGTATCATAACAGTGCTGGGATAGGCTCCAGCATCCCCTGTGACCCAGTCGGTTAAGCGGCTTAGATAATGAATGAATGAAGATATGATTTTATGAGTGGTAAAGGTGAAAAATGTACTTACTACTTCTGGCATCTGTAGCAGGCTGCACAATTGTAAGGGGTGGGGCTCAGTGGCATGGCGGTAAGGGATGAACCTGTTTGTCACCTCCACTTTAGAGGGGGACATTTGTTGTGGTGGTTGTTGTTGATGATGACAGGGGTTGGCTTGGAATGTTTGTTGGCTATGTTTGTTGCTCTACCTTGGGTTGGTTGGTGCGGTTTTGGTGTTTACCATGAGTGGATGTTGCATGGCCAGAGGTGGTCTTCCTTCCTGTTCTCACTGTGATAAAGGGGCTTTTTCTGCTTTGTTCAATAAAAGAGCATTTCACTGAAGCAGAAAAATGTCATTCTCTGTTTTGTTTTCTACTTCAACACTACAATAGTAATACCCATGGGCTTAGAATGAGATAATCTAAATGCACAAATGAATAGGATATTTGGGTGTATCCAGTTTTCAGCTCTCTGTAGACAAGTACAGCCATATCTGTTGGAACTGACATTAATGGAAAATCTTTGGGCATTTCAACCCAGTGGAGGAGAGTGCAAACTGCCAATTCTGTTATGTCAGTGAAGAGCATTGTGCTCGGAGATTTGGGGAAAGGAAGGGCCACCCTACCCACCAAAGCTTGATTTAATATAAGCCTCCCATCACTGGTTTAATATCGCAAGTAAGAAGCAATAAATTCTCAAAATGAACATAAGGATTCGAGGTATTATCTAAATATGTTAAAACCCAATGTTATGAACAGCTCAGTATAATTTGACATCATATATAATGATCTAATATTATTGTAGTGGTATATGTGAAATGCTTTCTTATGCATATTTACATATTAAAATATAAAATACAGTTTCATTAAAAAGATATATTGGTGAATCCTGCTATACTATGTACATATAAACCTAATCATATATGAGCACATTTTATATGAAGTCATAAATTATAGTGCTACTTTTACAATTTGTGTCAGGGTTTGAAAAAGCCTAGGAGGGTCCTTTACCCATAAGGTGTTTCTTGGTATTCTGATCTGGTCTAAACATGATTATGAAACACTTGGGAGCAAAAATACAAATAAACAAACCAAAGCTTGAGGCCAGAATAGCAAATATCTCTACAGCTACAGTGAACTTTCCAGGAGAGCTGACATAAGCTGGGATAAAGGTAACCCACACTGCACAGAATATGAGCATGCTGAATGTGATGAACTTGGCTTCATTAAAGTTATCAGGCAGCTTCCGTGCTAGAAAAGCCAAAATAAAACACAAAAGAGCCAGAAATCCTATATAACCCAGCACAGCCCAGAATCCTATAGTTGAACCCAATTCACATTCCAAAATTACTTTTTCCTTGTAGTGCTTTAAATTTTTGAAGGGGAGAGGAGGAGAAATTGTCAACCAAAGAACACAAATTAGGACTTGTATGAGAGTGAAGGTGAGAACACTGAGTCTCTGCTGTGGAGGCCCAAACCATTTCATGACATTACTGCCTGGAAGTGTAGCTCTGAAGGCCATTAACACCACTATTGTTTTCCCCAGAACACAGGAGATGCAGAGGACGAAGGTGATCCCAAACGCTGTGTGGCGCAGCATACAGGACCACTCAGAGGGCTGACCAATGAAAGTAAGTGAGCAAAGGAAACATAGAATCAGAGAGAAGAGCAGCAGGAAGCTCAGCTCTGAGTTGTTGGCTCGGACGATGGGAGAAGTTCTGTGTTTATAAAAGACAACAACAACACATACAGCTATGAAGGCCCCAGCGAGGGAGAATGCTGTCAGGATGATGCTCAGAGTGTCATCCCAGGACAAGAACTCCACAGGTTTGGGGAGGCAGCTGTCTCGGTGGGTGTTGGGCCAGAGCTCAGAAGGGCAGCGCACACAGTTCAGAGAGTCTAAGAGATTAGAAAAACATAATTCGAGCCTTATTTTGGAAAGAACAACAAGGGAACAAAAAAAAAAAACTTTGACTGTACCCATCAAAATTGCCTACTCTACTGATGATACCCAACCTGTCTTGTTACTGATCTCTCCTTCTGCACATGGTATACAGTCATAGCAGCAGACTGGCTTTCCTTTCTGCACAGCCTTCCTGGTTCCTGGAGGACAGCTCTCACTGCACACAGATCTTGGCACCTGAGACACATTAGAGAAATGCCAATCTTTTTCATTGTTTTTCAAAAAATAAATAAATAAATAAATAAAATGACTACGCTATGTGTGACTGAATGTATTTCTTACTGCACACTCCTAAAAAAAACGGTCCTTTAAGGATTCTTTCAGGATTCTTTTGTTTGCATGCTTGAAAGGTTCTTTGCATTGTGAAAGTGTACTTAAGATTGATATAGATTGTGTTGTATGTAAGTTTTTGAAAAGGGTTCTATATAGCCCCAAAAATGCTTCCTCTGGTTAACAATAGAAAAAAAAAAAAAAAATTTGGTGCTTTATGCAAGCCTTTTTAAAAAAGGTTCTATGTAGAATCATGTACAAGACATTCTCCATCAGTCTGAGTAACCCTTTTTTCTTTAAGCAATAAAATATTTCTTTGACTATCTATGATTCTGTATAGAGCCATGGTCTTTATTCTTGAGTAGCTATCTTTGTGTGAGAGTGTATCTCTTGTGTGTTGAAGGACATTACTTGGTCTAATGAAAATTTATAAAAACATTGTATATAACTGTTGAATGTATACATATATATATATATATATATATATATATATATATATATATATATATATATAAATATATATATATAGGCAATTTTAATTGATAATCAGTAAGTCAAATGTAAAATAAGCCTCTATAAAGCATTTAAAGTGTGTTTTTTAAAAAATACTAGGTACTAGGTAATACAAAGGTACTTCCTACCTTCACTGAATCATTAATTAGATCAGACTGAAGAAAATTAAATATATTCAACTGTTATAATTAAGTAAACATATGTGTTCAGTGACGGTTTATTATTTATTTATTTATTTATTTATTTATTTATTTATTTATTTATTAGTTTTTTTGAGTGTTAGGCAAAAATAACTGTACATGACAGGTTAACTAACTCTTCAATGATATTTGAATGAAGTCTACCTGTCATTACATATTTATATACCTAATTTCCATGTTTTACTGGTTTGTCTCATTTAGCTCTTATTTTGCAAATATTCATTAGGTATCACCAAAAATTTTTACTTCAGGTAAACGCATATAATATTTATATTAAAATTTCAGTTTTAGTGTGTTTTACATTTATTCATCGTAGTAAATATGACTGCATTTTATTTTGTAGTTTATGGCTTTAGCCTGTATGACTAATACAGACATTTAGCCATAATAACATCAACATCATCAACATCAATGGCATTGATTATATATAGCTAAATTAATTGTCTTTGAGGCATGTATTTTGACAAGTAATACATACACAACAGCAATGAAACCCTTTGTGATACTGATTATATTATAGTCTATTATATTGTAGTTTGATATATAAGGGGTACCCCAGAGTTCTTTCATGACAATATCCATGTAATTCTGTGTTTGCGTTAAAGCACAGAACTATTTAATTAATTAGTTATTATTGTGTCCATTCATGTTTTTCTTTTGAGTTAATGGCACTCATTGTAATTAAGGGAATCATCGCCACAAAATAATTTATTAATCACTTATGTAACTTTGAGTTGGAATTACTGTAAATAGTAAAGTGAATATATAAGTTCCATCGACTGAAAATTTATTATGGAAATACCAACCTAACCTTAAACCTATATTGTGTACAAACTTTGAAATTCTGATTTCATGAACTTGACTTCATGAAGGTTACCTATTTAAAACATGTTCAGAGTGACTTTAACAGTAATTAAGTTCCATTGAGTGCCATAATTAAATGAGCTCTGCTAAATGATCGAAGTTTCTAGTCAAAAGACCACTGTAAGTCGCGGACTGTACCTCGGTCTGTCCTCCCATCCAGATGATAGCTCTGCTCATACTGAACTCCTGGCCTCTTGGTTTGGATGAGTCATACTGGCCCACAGTCACGACCTCCAAACCACCATCCTTCTTAAACTGCCAGTTTATGAGCTCGTAGACGGCCACAGGATCACCACTGGAGTCAAACGAGACCTGATAGCCATTCTTTGTTGTGAAGTTCACTTTCTTGAGGTGGTCGAGTATCTGCAGTGGAACACATAATTTGACAAACTGTGAACGGAACGGTGACTGTTAACTGTTGTTCTAGCTGTACCCATTCATTTTTAATGAACATTCACATGACGATTCATTGTGAATAACTATATGAGCCATTCTAAACTGATTTTATTACCATAAATAAGAGCTCAAAGGCAGAATATCAACGCCTCAACGTTTATTTGTTGTTCCATTCCTAAATTATTTAGCAATAGCCTACGATAATTCTATTTGATTTATTTTATTTTATTATTATTATTTTTAATTGTAATGATTTTGTGTCATGTTGCGCGTGAGAAGTGCAGTCCATTGCAGTGGCTTCACAGACGCTGAAGCAGTTTTTAAAGCCAAAATGTCGATGCTTGATTTTCAATTTAAATATAAAAATGCATTTTAGTTATCATAGTTTTCTTTCTTCTAATCAATCTTGTACCATCATAATTGTCAGTGGTAATATCGATACATACAACGTCGTTGATAGTAAGAAAAAAAAAGAGAAAGATAAAGAAATATGAACTCTAATTGGCTAAAACACCGACACTTTCAGGTTTAGCGAAAAGCCAGTGATATTAGTGTTACTCATGGCACAATAAGTGATGTTAAAATTGACATTGCGCAGTATTTGCCAACACAATGGTAGAATAGCAGAAATAGCGTACTTGAAATAGATAATATTAAAATTTAGAATACATGCAGTTAAATCATTCTTATTCATATTATGAAAAAAAGTATGGGGCGTTTTTAAAGGCAGCATTTTTTACCTGCCATGGTGCAAATTTAGCGCTCTTGTCGCACTGCTTGTCATTACAGATAACACCGTGGATGGCATGCGCTATGGCATACGTAGCTTTGTACACCATGTTAGTGATGCGCAGCTGCGAAGTGTCTGTATATGGGTTCTGCAGCGCGCGGATATCCTCGCTGCCGTCACATTCTCGCGCGCCCCCGGAGGAGCCTGTCAGGCTACAGCTGAACGAGCTCTCCCAAAACTCCTTTAGCATAGGCGATTTCAGTGCTTGTGCTGGAGAGAGATCCAGAAGAAACTCACGAAGACCTGGAATCACTGAGCGGGGAACCCCAAATCCTATCGCCCCAGCGCACATGTTAAAGCGCAGAAATTCCGGATGGGTGATCCACGCATCGCTTCCTATCCACTGAACGGGAGGTGGCGACTGTCTTGTCAGTTCTTCTAAGAGAACTCTCGCTTCGCCTGAGGCAAGAAACGCTACTATTACCCGGGCTGTTGATCTGCGGATGACGTTTGCCACTCTCTCCAGTTTACTACGCGGATCTGTTCTGTAGAAGACCAGAGAGTACTCCACACAGATGCCCTCCTCTTGCGCAGCCTTTAGAAACGATGCCATTCCATTATTTCCGTAATCTGTGTCACTGCGCACTGCCCCAATCCATGTCCAGCCGAAATACTTGACCATTTTTGCCAGTGCGGCCGCTTGATGGTGGTCACTAGGCACAGTCCTGAGAAAAGCGGGATACTGACGCTTATCGCTCAGACATGCGCAGGTTGCGTAGTAACTCACCTGTTATTCAGTCCAAAAAAGGAGAAAACGTCATTTGAAAAGCGTAGTTGAATTCTAGTGCTTATGTGTGGCATTTGATACGGTTCTTTAACTTCTTAACGCATAAAACATAGAACCTAACTTAGTATGTTAAACTCTCTTCGGCAACATTTTAAAATCATCGCTATATAACGAACAATAATAAGCTAGATTTTTGATGCTCCACCATTCGATTCACCTGTGGAATTCCAAAAAGACCCAGCATTCTGGTCATGCTAATGGAGGCGGGGGAATTAGACTCTCCCATCACAGCAGGAACAGCGGCAGCTGCAGATTTTGAACAAGAATCAGTATCATTGAAAAATGGTTCCATGCCGTTTGCAAACTGAAATGCAACTTTAACAGCCATCGGCACTGCAGCGCACGAGTCGTGTATCTGGTATCCTAACGTGATTCCCGGCAGGAGATCCGTTCTGTTGTTGATCTCGTGGATGGTGAACTCCATGGAACGAGCGAAGCGCAGTTGCCTGAAATCCATGCTGTTTAGAAACATAAGATGCACAAGACAAAATGAGAGTGTCTGTTGTTTTAGTTAGTATTTGCAACTGTCACTAACACAATAACTAGCACAAGGCTGCAAAAAGTTAGAATTAATTATAAAGATCACTTAATGTAATGTTCCCTACACTCACAGACAGACCTCCCAGAGCACTGTGGTTGTAGTGGCGGTCTGGTGTAGTTGTTCTGCTCTGATCTCAGGTTGTAATGAATGGAGAAAAGCCCCCCAATCACAAAATCTCCATTCATATAAATACCAATCATCTGCGGCTCGGACCACAGTCTGCAGCTGACCGGATCAGCTTTACATGCTATTGGTCTGAGTCCATTTATCCACAGCACTGATACAAATATCAGTAAAGTCGAAGTGAGCTGCATGATGTGCTCTGTAGCCTACCTCTCTGAAGGCCAGGCAGACTCCATTTAAATAGTCACCTTGTTGTGATACACAATGGGTGTGAGCTTAGAATCAGGAGGCGTGGTTATGTGTTGAATAGTAAATGTAATGATGGATATAGCTTTTTTTTCTCTCTGGTGTTTTGAATAGTGTAATTGAGACACAAAATGATTTGCGCAAAATAGGGGTGTGTTTTACTAAGCCGCAATTCAGACTTTGAATTTTGTGTATTTATCTTGTTAATATCCGTAAGAGCCGTGTTAAGTTCAGAGGCACTGTTTAACTATTTATTATTACCATAATATTTCAGACTGAAATTTGTCTTCAAATAGAAGAATGAAGTGCTTTTTTAAAATGAAAACTAAATAAATAAATGTGAAGTTATGAGGTAAGCCGTTATAGGCCACTGAGAATTATGATTAAAATTTTGTGCAATAGAAGAGCGTGGCTTCATTATCTGCAGTTCAGATGTTGAACTCAAACATGTATGTCTTGGGCAATATTCGCTCACATGAAGCATTGCATTAAGTTACGTGAAACTGTCTGATCACTTCTTGCGACCAACCAATTTTAGACCAAGACTAATTTCACACTAGGCTTAGTATTAATAGGAAGTTTAGACTAAACACCAGAGTGAGGTTAAATTTTATGTTTGAGTTGATATTAAGAACAGGTTTAGGGTAAATTATATCTAAAAAAATAATTAATACAGCGATCTATAAAGCATCTTTGATGCATTTGCAGAGTGCTGTCCAAATAATGTGTTACCCTGGTTTCCTCCCTCTTCCAAGGCACATGAGGCACTTTCTTTTCTTATTGTTCCTTATGCAGAGTTAGTAGACTATCTGCCAATTTTCTTATGTCAGGTGCTCTTCAAGGTGCTGTAGAGGGGAACGATTCCATAATAATGCCCTGGGATTAGAAATGTTCATCAAGCACGTATGTATGTAATGTTTGTCTGTACCCAGCTTTCCTTCCCAGTCTGGTAAAGGCTGATTCCCATCTACTAGCTATGGGGTAACTTTATTTGAAAAGCCCCCAGTAGGTTTTCTCTAGATGTTGAATTCATTATCAAACTGTTTGTTAAAAGCCAGTTGATTCTCAGCAGGGTTAGAATTAGTATTAGTGCATTTAGGTTTGGACCAGAGTAATGGTAAGGTTTTTGAGATTAAGTTGAAGGTTACAGTTAGATCTAGGTTGATAAATGTAATCGATAATTAGTAGAATGCAAGTAGAATGTAAGATAAGCATCTAAGAAAGTGTTGCTGCAGTGCTGAGAATGATCCACCACCCAAATAGTACCTGCTCTGTGAGGGTGCATGGGGGTCCTGATCACTGAAGAACAGGGTAAAAGGGGGCTGACAAAGTACGCAGAGAAACAGATGGACTACAGTCTGTAACTGTAGAACTACAATTAATTATTGCTATATTACTATAATCTTTAGTTATTACTAAACACAAATAATAATAAACTAGATTACTAATATTGCACCATTTGGTGCAACATACAATCACCTGTGGAATTCCAAAAAGACCCAGCATTCTTGTGACGCTAATTGAAGAAGTGGAAACAGAATCTCCCACGAGAGCAGGAACAGCAGTGGCTGCAGATTTTGAACAGGAATCAGTATCATTGAAAAATGGTTCCATGCCGTTTGCAAACTGAAGCGCAACTTTAATAGCCATCGGTACTTCAGCACACGAGTCGTGTATCTGGTATCCATATCTGTTCTGTTGTTGATCTCGTGGATGGTGAACTCCATGGCACGGGTGAAGCGCAGCTCCCTGAAGTTCACACTGTTTACAAACATAATATTCACATTTAAAAGGTATTTTCACAAAATAGAATAATATAATAAAACAATTTTACAATACCATGGACTGGCAACCTGTCCAGTGTGTATCCTACCTTCCGCCCAATGACAGCTGGGATAGGCTCCAGCACCCCACCGTGACCCAGAAGGATAAGCGGTTTAGATGATGTATTTATGTATGTAATTTTACAATACCTTTTACTAGATAATTTCAGATGTAACTAACTCAACAAATGTCGCATGTTTGTAATAAAGTGTCAATTTGATTGTTACAATTTCTCTGTAATTTTTTTTTATTATTATTATTTTTTTAATTTTTTTCTCAAATTCAAGAAAAAATATTGGTGTAAGCGCTTACTTAGCATATGGACAAATGCTCTTTTATTTTAAACAGGCGCTTCAACATACAGCAAGAAATGCTCAGCCCAGCGCTGCCCCAACACAGACACAAAACATGTCTAACCACTAGTTACACAACGAATCCCACCCTCCTCGGAGACTATGGGGCAATTGCATTATCATTAGCCATGTGGTTTAGTGTTTAATCCTAGTTTTAACATCAATCAGTCACGTGGCTTCTTGACCTCTGTTACTTTGTCCTCGGAAGTTTCAGTTTCAAAAGCGCCTATAGTTTAAACTGAACCCAATTGCTGTGTCCCATGAAAATCACACATTTACCTCTAGATGGTCATGTATCTCACGTTTGAGGTTTATCTGAAACCTGCTAAAGACATGGTTTTACTGAGGTAAGTAAGATTATTGTGATTGAAAAGTATTTATTTTAATTTGTTATTTTAATATTCCATGCTTATAGGCCCATATACCTCTTTATGTTTTATGGATCTTATGGCATGACTTGTTCAGAGAAACTGCAGCTGACCTGTTTAGGCTATCACTGTCATTGACCTCAAAGGGAAATTTCATCTCAGCAAATTTTGGAGAGGCTTCAACAGGTTCAGGTCCAGAGCGTAGCCTCAGTCAATGTCGTTCAGTTGCGTGTCAGCTAATTATTTAAAATGCTATGGACATAACTTTACGTTAGTGGCTACATGTTTTTAGTTGATTTGATTTAAACTATGAGTAGCTTAAAAAAAATAAAATAAAAAAAAAATCATAACATCGTACACAGTGACTCCCAGTGACTCGTACACTCTTTGTGTAATTTTTATTGCTATTAGGATAGAACTGAATTAAAAAAGGCTGTTGGTGTGGTTTAAATGAACATAAGCAAGACACTTTTCATGCATCGATTGTTGTATTACACATACATACATACAATATAACAATAAAAGAATGAAACCTTTTTTCCTTATGTGGATGCCTCTGGGTGTAGTGTGTAGCTGACCCAATACTTTTGTTTACAGTCCACGTGGAGTTTGCAGCTATAACAGCCTCCGCTCCTGTGGGAAGGAAGAGCATCCAGAAGAGCATTTGTGAGGTCAGGCACTAATGTTGGACGAGAGGGCCTGGCTCAAAATCTCTGTTCTAGTTCATCCCAAAGGTGGTCCAGCATACCTTAAATAGAAATGAGTAGTGTTAAACAGAAACAGGAAAGGTTGTACAACCCCATTTCAAAAAAAGTCACTGTGAACCATGTAAACAATAACAAAATGATGTGCAAATCATTGAAACCCTATATTTCATTGAAAATGTTTTAAAGACAACATATCGAATGTTGAAACTGAGAAATTTTATGTCTTTTTGAAAAAATATATGCCTATTTTGAATTTGATGCCAGCAACACGTTCCAAAAAAGTTGGGACGGGGGCAACAAAAGGCTGGTAAAGTTGTGTAATGCTAAAAAAAACACCTGGTGGTTAATTGGCAACAGGTCAATAACATGATTGGGTATAAAATGAGAAAAAACAGTATTTGCCGGCTGTGAACTTCGGGCCCTCAGACAGCACATTAAAAATAAACATGATTCTGTAGTGGAAATCACTGCATGGGCTCAGAAACACTTCTGCAAAACACTGTCTATGAAAACAGTTCGGTGCTGCATCCACAAATACAAATTAAAACTCTTAAAAAAAACAGTATTCATTATGGTATTAATGCACATGGCATGGGTGACTTTTTATTTATTTTTATTTTATTTCATGATTTTTTTTTTGTTGTTGTTTTGCACAGCGTCCCAACTTTTTTGGAAATGGGGTTGTAGATCCCAGCTACTTGCAGTTGCTCAAAAGGAATTTCACATTACGATGAAAGATGTGGCAGTGGAGGTCTTGTGGGAAAAAAAAATGAATTAATTACAAAAAAAAACAGAAACAATCATTGCACTTGTATCTGTAAACAACCCCATAGATTGAAATCTCTGACATCGCTCATAACATTGCTGGTGTTCTGAAGAATTGTGCTACCTACCATACCGCATATACGTAAGTAGAGCTCTACTTAGAACTGTGGGTAGGATATTTTGATAGCCTAAATCACCATCAGGATGTTATAAGTAATATTAAGCTGAGTCTGTACCGAATTAACATTGCAAACACTAAAACGTTAGACACAATTTGCTACACTATACTAATGGTATGCGCATGCTCGGTAGCACTGCTCGATGGGCTGGACAAATTGTTAGAACATAAGTGACAGTCTCTATTTAAAAATGACGGTGTCTAATAACACTGTCAGTGAAGTGAGGGTGGCTAATAAAAGTGGCGGTGAAGTGACGGTGAAGTTCTGACGAATTGTGCGAACTTGTTGAAACGTCCTACAATAGCACAAATTTATAGCTGTTTTCTTACTTACATAGTAGGATGTTTCAATGGCTTAAATCACTGTTTCTGAAAATGCTACCAACATTACAACTACAGATAAAATATTTTAATAGCCTAAACCCTCCTATCAGAAAATGTTACCAACATTCAAATAATTGGGATATTTTGATAGCTTAAATCAGCTTATCAGGGAGTTATAGTATTAGAATTAGTCTCCCATATGGAAAATATATTCCAAATGTACTTATTAAATATATTTTTCCAATACGTGTATTTCTTTAAATATATACTCAATGAATGGTACTTTTGTGTTTTGCACTGTACTTTGCAAACGATTGTACATATGTGGTAAGACAGCACTTGCACAAAATTTTTGTCAAATGAACAAGATAACAAATTATCAAACTGCATTTTCACAGTGCATCAATATCTACAATACTCGATTTTGTCATGTAAAAGGTCATTTTTTTAACATACAGTCACGACACTGAAATACAAATTCACTTTAAAGGTACTCCAAACAGTAAAATGCATTAGACAAAGTGTTTTGGCAATTTTCATATATCTCTGAAGGTATCCGCTAAAAACATGTACATAGATTTACATACATGTGCATTTCTACATGCAACATTTTCCATATATTTTAAAATAAATGCATTTTAAAATGTTTTTAAAATACATTTTAGAGTTTGGAATGTGTCTGTTCCTGTGCCTGCGACCCGGGCGCTTCCTGTTCCTGCTCCTGTGATCCGGATACCTCCTGTTCCTGCCCCTGCACTCCAGAGGCCTCCTGTTCCTGCACTCCGGATGCCTCCTGTTCCTGCTCCAGCGCTCCGGGCACCTCCTGTTTCTGCTCCTGCGCATATATACATATGTATATATCAGACAAACACACATATATACTATATATGTATTTGTTTGTGTGATGGAGATGCCAGTGGAGAACAAGAAGAAGCTGTGAAGAATCAGGCCCAGAGACTTGGGGTAAGAGTATGCTCTCCATTAGTCAACGAAAGAAGCATGGGTGATTGGAGGGGCTCATTTCTCTGGCCCTGAGAAAAAGTATGCTCTCCTGATGACTCACAGCATGTTGGGCAAAGGGGTGTAGTTAGCTGAAGATATAACTGACCTGTAGAGGCTGACAGGTAAGTTAGGTGTTGAACTTAGGTCCGCCATGGTGTCCTCACCCGATACCGTCACCAGTTCCCAATCTGACTCCAAAGCCTCCACTAAAACTTCATCTACCTGAGGTAAGGCAGCTTGGTGGTTTGAAAAGCAAGTCAGCTTTCCTGCGGTAATGTAAGATGGTCATGGCAGTGGAGGGGTGGGGGACGAAGTGATGGCAGTTCAGTTACCCTCAGTGCTGGAAGGGCCAGCTCTGCAAGTACTGTAAAAGCACCATGCCAGTGCTACTGTAACTTGGCATAATCTCATAGCCAGTCTGGGGAGGTAGTTTGGTGAGTGAGTGTGGCCCATGTGCATTACAGAGAAACTCAATCAGACAGAGTGCCAATACAGAGAGAAGCTGGGTCTGCTCTCCATTGAGAATATGTACCAGTCAATACTACAAACCAGTGCAGAAACAGAAGCCAGCCAGGAAGATCAGCTCCCACTGTACAGCTTGGGTCAAGTAGGCATAGACAGGAAACAGCTCACTGCCGTCAATGCTACACCCAAGCGTGCTCCTTCAGACTAGGAGAAGCACACCTGCCAAGTGGGAAGCAATAACCATCCAGCTCAAATCTGTCACTGCACGGGAGCCTGAGCCCAATGCCTGAGTTCAGGTTCATGCCAGTGTGTGATGCTACAAAAGAAAATCTCTACAAATAAAGCTGGTCATGGTAGCTAGCAGAGGGGTCATGGCAGAGAAAGTCAAGGCTCCTTGACACTGTGGCCTTCATCTTCCATGGGGGAAGCCACCAGCACTGGAGAAGCTGAGCACGCAGCACTAAAGCTAGTGGGCAGAAGCCCATGAGCTGGAAATGCTATTGGCTCAAGGACACTACAGCTTTCGTGAGTGAAGCCATCGTTGGCGAAGCTGAACACTCAGCACCAGAGCCAGTGGATTAATCCTCAGGATCTCTAAGTCCACACACAAGCAGTAACCTTGCCGGCATCGGTGACGTGGTGGACAGTGGAAAGAGTGGAACTGTGACTGGTGGGTCATGGGAATGAATGGGACCCTGCTTTGTAGAAAAGCTGCCAGACATGGTGTATTGGGTGTGCACCAGAGCCTGGTGCAACATTGTGTTGCATTGAGGCCATCCTTGGGGCCCTCCAAATTGATACCCCACAGCACCCAAACCACACTCTCCAGCTACACAGAGAACTCGCCAGGGTGTCTCTGATGCACCGCAGCAGCTTTGGAATCCTCTCAATGCCCCTCAGTGACCCAGGAGGACCACAACACCCCGACGGCTGCAGCAGACCACCCAGAGGCCGAGCCCATGGGGATGCCGAATACCCCCTGGTATACCAGGCTGGTACCCCTCAAAGAGGAGGTAACAGGCTCCTAGACATTTTGAAGAACTGGTTTGGTGGGACTGGTAAGCAGTGTAGTTACTTAGACAAGGAGGGGGAGCAATGTGGTGTCATTGCAAGCCTGTCTTATGTTAAAAGTAAACCCACCCTCTAACGCTCCTTGTTCACAGTTACTCTAATTATCTACAAACTAAACCCAGCGAGAACAACAACTGACATAGCAAACTGACATGCTTAACCCAGAGTGGGACTCTACAAGAGCCACTTTGCATGGTCACACCCCCTAAGGACCTCAAGGCCACTGGAGCCAGTGGCAGACTTCACAATATGTATTTGTCATTTTGAATAAAAATACTAAACTGAATACTTTAGTCTATAAATATAGTATTCAAATAAAAAAAATGAAATATTTAAATACTTGTTTAAAATATTTTAATATTTAATGGAATTTCCTAATTCCCATCTACTAGCTATGGTTTTGCTTTTGTTTGGAAAGTTATTTGGAAAGTCCCCAAAAGAGTATCTTTAAGTCATTAACAAACTTTCTGTTGAAAGTTGGTAGATTCTCAACACTGTTACGGTTAGTGTTAATACCAGGTTTGGGCTTCAGACCAGAGTGAGGGTTAAGTTTAGGTTTGGGGTGAGGTTAAGATAAAGGTTAGAGTAATAGATAATTAGTAGAATTTATGTGTGTACACATAACACAAACATTTAAGAAATATTTACAGCAATCTATCCAAATAAAGTGTTACCTTAACTAACCCCACCCCCTTGTCACACATGCTTCTTCTGAGACAAGTGAGTCATGACTTTTCTAACTGCTCCTAAAGGAATGTCCTTGGAAAGTTCAGCACACTCAGAAACTACAAAAAAAATAAAAAATAAATAACTGCCAATACAGTTATGTCAGAGGCTCTCCATGGTGCTGAAGTCACATTTTTCAGCAGACTGGCATATCCATGTCTTTGAAAGTGTGAATGGATGGAGCAAAGTCTTCAAAGTTTTCTGGCTGTACCTTGCTGGATTTCAATCTAGAGCAAAATCTTGCTGAGTGATAGGGGAAGAGGAAGGGTGATAGCGTTCACCAAGTCTCTCCCAAACAAATGGGTCAACAATGAGATTGTTTAATATTACATGTCATTTGCAATATATTCTCAAAAAGATCATGAGGATTACATTTACATTTTAGTATTACTTAAAAATGGCAAAATCAGTTTAATTTAGCATTATACAATAGTATAGTATCATAACAGTGCTGGGATAGACTCCAGCATCCCCATGACCCAGTCGGTTAAGCGGCTTAGATGATGAATGAATGAAGATATGATTTTACGAGTGGTAAAGGTGAAAAGTTTACTTACTACTTCTGGCATCTGAAGCAGGCTGCACAATTGTAAGGGGTGGGGCTCAGTGGCATGGCAGTAAGGGATGAACCTGTTTGTCACCTGTTTTGGTTTTTTTTTGATGGGGGCATTTGTTGTGGTGGTTGTTGTTGATGATGACAGGGGTTGGCTTGGAGTGTTTGTTGGCTATGTTTGTGGTTCTGCCTTGGGTTGGTTGGTGCGGTTTTGGTGTTTACAATGAGTGGATGGTGTGTGGCTGGAGGTGGCCTTCCTTGCTGTTCTTGCTGTGATAAAGGGGCTTTTTCTGCTTTGTTCAATAAAAGAGCATTTTACTGAAGCAGAAAAATGTCATTCTCTGTGTTGTTTTCTACTCAAACACTACAATAGTAATACCCATGGGCTTAGTGAGATAATCTAAAAGCACAAATGAATAGGATATTCCGGTGAATCCAGTTTTCAAGTCGCTGTAGACAAGTACAGCCACATCTTTTGTAACTGACATTAATGCAACATCATTGGGCATTTCAACACAATGGAGGAGAGTGCAAACTGACAATTCTCTATGTCAGTGAAGAGCATTGTTCTCAGAGATTTGGGGAAAGGAAGGGCCACCCTACCCACCAAGCCTTGATTTAATATGAGCCTCCCATCATAAATTCTCAAAATGATCCTAAGGATTCGATTTTGAAATAGAGGTGTCTAAATGTGTTAAAACCCAATGTTATGAACAGCTCAGTATAATTTCTCATTATATACAATGATCTAATATTATTGCAGTGGTATGTGTGAAAAGCTTTCTTATGCATATATACATATTAACATACAAAATACAGTTCAATTAAAAAGATATATTGGCAAAACTGCTACACTATTTACATATAAACCTAATGATAAATCAGCACATTTTATACAAAGTGGCAAATCATAGTGCTACTTTTACGAATTGTGTCAGGGTTTGAAAAAGCCTAGGAGGGTCCTTTACTCATAAGGTGTTTCTTGGTATTCTGCTCTGGTCTAAACATGATTATGAAACACTTGGGAGCAAAAATACAAGTAATCAAACCAAAGCTTGAGGCCAGAATAGCAAATATCTCTACAGCTACAGTGAACTTTCCAGGAGAGCTGACATAAGCTGGGATAAAGGTAACCCACACTGCACAGAATATGAGCATGCTGAATGTGATGAACTTGGCTTCATTAAAGTTATCAGGCAGCTTCCGTGCTAGAAAAGCCAAAATAAAACACAGAAGTGCTAGAAATCCTATATAACCCAGCACAGCCCAGAATCCAATAGCTGAACCTAATTCACATTCCAAAATTATTTTTTCCTTGTAGTGCTTTAAAATTTTTGAAGGGGAGAGGAGGAGATATTGTCAACCAAAGAACACAAATAAGAACCTGTATTAGAGTGAAAGCAAGAACACTGAGTCTCTGCTGTGGAGGCCCAAACCATTTCATAACATTACTGCCTGGAAGTGTAGCTCTGAAGGCCATTAACACCACCATTGTTTTCCCCAGAACACAGGAGATGCAGAGGACGAAGGTGATCCCAAATGCTGTGTGGCGCAACATACAGGACCACTCAGAGGGCTGACCAATGAAAGTAAGTGAGCAGAGGAAACAGAGCGCCAAAGAGAAGAGCAGCAGGAAGCTCAGCTCTGAGTTGTTGGCTCGGACGATGGGAGAAGTTCTGTGTTTATAAAAGACAGCAGCCACACATACAGCTATGAAGGCCCCAGCGATGGAGAACACTGTCAGGATGATGCTCAGAGAGTCGTCCCAGGACAGGAAACTCCACAGGCTTAGGGAGGCAGCTGTCTTGCTGGGTGTTGGGCCAGAGCTCAGAAGAGCAGCGCACACAGTTCAGTGAGTCTACGAGATTAGAAAAGTACATTCAGAACCTTATTTTAGAGACAAGGGAACAAAACTTTCACTGTGCCTATTGAAATTGCCTGCTCTACTGATGATACCCAACCTGTCTTGTTACTGATCTCTCCTTCTGCACATGGTATACAGTCATAGCAGCAGACTGGCTTTCCTTTCCGCACAGCCTTCCTGGTTCCTGGAGGACAGCTCTCACTGCACACAGATCTTGGCACCTGAGACACATTAGAGAAATGCAAATCTTTCATCGCTTTAAAATTCACAGTGCTATGCATGGATGAATGTATTTCTTACAGCACACTCCTATAAATGGTTCTTTAAGGATTCTTTGGTAAAAACAATGTTTTTTTATAGAACCACGAACATTCAAAGAACCATTTGCATGCTCGAAAGTTTCTTTGCATTGTAAAAGCGTTCTTAAGATTGATATAGATTGTATTGTATGTACATTTTTGAAAAGGTTCTATATAACACCAAAAAGGCTTCTTCTATAGTTAAGATGTCAAGCTTTTAACATTAGAAAAACCCATTTTGTTGCTTTGTACAAGTCTTTTTAAAAAAGGTTCTATGTAGAATCATGTACAAGACATTCTCATCGGTCTGAATAACCCATTTTGTCTTTGATCAAGAAAACATTTCTTTGAGTCTCTATGGTTCTGTATAAAGCCCATTGTCTTTACTGAAGAATTCATGAGTAGCCATCTTTGTTAAGAGTGTATCTCAGTGTTGAAGGACATTACATGGTCTAATGAAAATGTATAAAAACATTACATATATTCAACAGTTAAAGTAAACTGTACATATGAAGTGTGGCCAACCATTTCTTTTCTGTCTTTTTATAATAAGCACATGTTTATTTTCTCTAGTTTGGTCATGGCCAAATAATTTTCACTAGCAATGTGCTATGTTTATTTGGAAAGTCCCCAATTAATTATGTATAGATGTTTAATTCTTCAACAAACTATTTATTGAAAGTCAGTTGATTCTCCACAGTATTAGGGTTAGTATAAGTACCAAGTTTAGGCTTGGGACCAGAGTGAGGGTTAGGTTTTCTCCTGTGGTTAATCTTAGAGTTAGGGTTGGAAAAAGGTTGCTAATTTTAGTAGATAATCAGTATAATGTAAGTCAAATGTAAAATAAGCCTCTATGAAGCATTTAAAATCCGTTATTCAAATAATGGTAGCCAAGGTACTTCCCACCTTTACTGAATCATTAATTACATTAGACTGAAAAAAAATAAATATGTTCAACAGTTATAATTAAGTAAACATAGTATGTGTTTAGTCATGTGATTTATTTATTTATTTATTTATTTATTTATTTATTTATTTTGTTGTTTTTTTTTAATGTTAGGCAAAAAGAACTGTATATGACAGGTTAACTAACTCTTCAATGATATTTGAATGTATTTTACCTGTCAATACATAGTAATATGCACAAAGTAATTTTGACTTCAGGTTAACGCATATCATCTTCATATTAAAAATTTCAGTTTTAGTGTATTTTACAGTTATTCAAGATAATAATATTATTGTGTTTTATTTTGTAGTTTATGGCTTTAGCCTGTATGACTAATACAGTCATTTAGCTATAATAATATCAACGTCATCAATCAAAATTATTTGTCTTTGAGGCATTTATTTTCACAATTAATACGCACAGAAAAGCAACGAAACCCCTTTGTGATACTGATTATATTATCCATTGTCTGATCTATAAGGAGTTCTCCAGGGTGCTTTGATGCCAGTATTCATGTAATTCAGTCATAAGCCAAGTGTTTACGTTAAAGCATAGAATTAATGTAATTAAGTAGTTTTTATTGTGTCCATTCATGTTTTTCTTTTAAATTAGTGGCACTCATTTCAATTAAGGAAATCACAACCACAAAATAATTCAGTAATCACTTATATAACTTTGAGTTGCAATTGCTGTAAATAGTAAAGTGAATACATATGTTCCATCAAATGAAAACGTATTATGGAAATACCAACCTAACCTTAAACCTATATTGTCTACAAATTTTGAAATTTTGATTTCATGAACCTGACTTCATGAAGGTTAGATATTTAAAACATGTTCAGAGTGACTTTAACAGTAATTAATTTCCATTGAGTGCCATAATTAAATGAGTTCTGCTAAATGATCGAGGTTTCTAGTCAACAGACTACTGTAAGTCTCGTACCGTACCTCGGTCTGTCCTCCCATCCAGCTGATAGCTCTGCTCATACTGAACTCCTGGCCTCTTGGTTTGAATGAGTAATAGTGGCCCACAGTCACAAAATCCAAACCACCATCTTTCTTAACCTGCCAGTTTATGAGCTCGTAGACGGCCACAGGATCACCTTTAGAATCAAACGAGACCTGAAAACCATTGTTGGTAGTGAAGTTCACTTTCTTGAGGTGGTCGAGTATCTGCAGTGGAACACACAATTTGACAAATTGTGAACGGAACCATGACAGTGAACTGTTATCAATTGTTTGAATGCATTATGAAAAATATTAATTTATCATTAATGAACATTCACATGATAAGTCATATGAGCCATTCTAAACTGTTACCATAAATAAGAGCGCACAGGCAGAATATCAACGCCTGTTTATTTGTTGATCCATTCCTAAATTAATCAGCAATAACTTAGGAAAATTCTTTTTGATTATTTTTAAATTTTTATTGTAATGGTTTTGTGTCATGTTGCGCGTGAGAAGTGCAGTCCATTGCAGTGGCTTCACAGATGCTGAAGTATTTTTAAAGCCAAAATTTCGACGCTTGATTTTCAATTTAAATTGTAAAAATGCGCTTTAGATATTTTAGTTTTCTTTCTTCAATGTTAAAATGCTTGTAAATATGTCAAATTATTTTATAATCAATCTTGCACCATCATAATTGTCAGTTGTAATATCGATACATAAACGTCGTTGATAGTAAGGAAAAAAATGACTTCTAACAGGGACATCTCGGGGGAAAATATTATCTCTGACAAGTCTTTGGTTGATGAAGTCTGTTTTTACATTTCTGATTAAATTGGCTAAAACACCGACACTTTCAGGTTTAGCGAAAAGCCTGTGATATTAGAGTTACTCATGGCACAGTAAGCGATGTTTAAATTGACACTGCTCAGTATTTGCCAACACAATGGTAGAATAGCAGAAATAGCGTACTTGAAACAGATAATATTAACAGGTAGAATACACGCAATGAAATCATTCTTATTCATATTATGAAAAAAGGTATGGGGTGTTTTTTTAAAAACAACGTTTTTATACCTGCCATGGTGTGAATTTTGCGCTCTTGTCGCACTGCGTGTCATTACAGATAACACCGTGGATGGCATGCGCTATGGCATACGTAGCTTTGTACACCAGGTTAGTAGCGCGCAGCTGCGAAGTGTCCGTATATGGGTTCTGCAGCGCGCTGATATCCTCGCTGCCGTCACATTCCCGCGCGCCCTCGGAGGAGCCTTTTAGGCTACAGCTGAACGAGCTCTCCCAAAACTCCGTTAGCAGAGGCGATTTCAGTGCTTGTGCTGGAGAGAGATCCAGAAGAAACTCACGAAGACCTGGAATCACTGAGCGGGGGACCCCAAAACCTATCGCCCCAGCGCACATGTTAAAGCGCAGAAACTCTGGATGGGTGATCCACGCATCGCTGCCGATCCATTGAAGGGGAGGCGGCGGCTGCCTTGTCAGTTCTTCTAAGAGAACTCTCATTTCGCCTGAGGCAAGAAACGCTACTATTACCCGGGCTGTTGATCTGCGGATGACGTTTGCCACTCGCTCCAGTTTACTGCGCGGTTCTGTTCTGTAAAACACCTCAGAGTACTCCACGCAGATGCCCTCCTCTTGCGCAGCCTTTAGAAACGAAGCCATTCCAATATTTCCATAGTCTGTATCGCTGCGCACTGCCCCAATCCATGTCCAGCCAAAATGCTTGACGATTTTTGCTAGTGCGGCCGCTTGGTGGTGGTCACTAGGTATGGTCCTGAAGAAGGCAGGATACTGACGTTTATCGCTCAGACATGCGCAGGTTGCGTAGTGACTCACCTGTTATTCAGGATGAAAAAGGGGAGAAAACGTCTTTTGAGAGATCTAATGTGATTCTGGCGTATTGTTATTGGACATTATATGTTTCTTTAGTTATTACTAAACACAAATAATAATAAACTAGATTACTAATATTGCACCATTTGGTGCAACATACAATCACCTGTGGAATTCCAAAAAGACCCAGCATTCTTGTGACGCTAATTGAAGAAGTGGAAACAGAATCTCCCACGAGAGCAGGAACAGCTGCAGCTGCAGATTTTGAACAGGAATCAGTATCATTGAAAAATGGTTCCATGCCGTTTGCAAACTGAAGTGCAACTTTAACAGCCATCGGTACTTCAGCGCACGAGTCGTGTATCTGGTATCCTAACGTGATTCCGGGCAAAAAATCTGTTCTGTTGTTGATCTCCTGGATGGTGAACTCCATGGCACGGGCGAAGCGCAGCTCCCTGAAGTTCATACTGTTTACAAACATAATATTCACATTTAAAAGGTATTTTCACAAAATAGAATAGTATAATAAAACAATTTTACAATACCTTTTACCAGATAATATCAGATGTAACTAACTTAATAAATGTCGCATGTCTGCAATAAAGTGTCAATTTGATTATTACAATTTCTCTGTAATGATCTCTGCAACTGTTCACTCCACACTCACAGACAGACCTCCCAGAGCACTGTGGCTGCAGTGGCGGTCTGGTGTAGGTGTTCTGCTCTGATCTCGTGTAGATATGAATCGAAAAAATCCCTCCAATTATAAAATCTCCATTCATAGAAAGACCGGCCATCTGAGGCTCAGCCCACAGCCTGCAGCTGCCCGGGTCGGCTTTAGAAGTTGCTGGACTGAGCCCGGTTATCCATAACATTGATACAGACATCATTAAACTTGATCCAAGCTCCATGGCATATTCAGCAGTTCTACAGCCCTCTGAAGGCCAGGTTGCCTGACTTTAAATATTCCATTTCTTTTGATGCCGTGTGGGTGTGAGCTCAGGAGGCGTGGTTATGTCATGAATAGTGATCGCAATAATTCACATATCTTTTGCATTTGTGTATCTTTGGTGTATTGGATGGTGTTTTTACACCACATAAATAAGCTGACCTTAAGTAACCACATGGCCCCCATCATCTCTAGAAAACTTTAAACCGTTTGCACCGAGCAGGGAGGAGTCTCAGTTATGCGTATTTTAGACGCTGAATTGTAGGACATTACTGTTAGTGATATTCAGCACCACTGCAACCAAAATATTTCACACTAAAATTTGCCCACCGTGCCCACTATAAAATACAAACAAAAACCATAAAATGCCATTTGATAACGATATGAAATATTGTAACTTCAGCTCAGAAAACAACGCAGAAAACATAGAGCCTTTTTTTTTATCAACTGGTCTTAAGAAGAAATAGACCCAATTAAAACCCGCTTACGCAGTTTTCATGGAGATTCTGACATTCACCATTTTTTTTTTAATTCAAAGAGCGAACAGTTCTGCCGTTTGAGAACGTGTCATAATTCTGACCTATACTTTTTTTCTGAGAACTTTCCTCAAATTCAAGAAAAAAACTTATTTTTAAACAGGCACTTCAACATACAGAAAGAAATGCTTAGCCCAGCGCTGCCCCAACACGGACACAAAACTCTTCTAACCACTGGTTACACAACGAATCCCACCCTCCTCGGAGACTATGGGGCAATCATCTTAGATGTGGATTAGTGTTTAATCCGAGTTTAAACATAAATGAGTCACATGGCTTCTTGACCTCTGTTACTTTGTCCTCGGAAATTTCAGTTTAAAACGCGTCTATAATTTAAAATGGACACATTTACTGTGTCCTATGAAAATCACACATTTACCTCTAGATGGCGCTGTATCTCAGGTTTGAGGTTTATCTGAAACCTGCTAAAAAACGTGGTTTTACTGAGTTAAGTAAGATTATTGTTATTGGAAAGCGTTTATTCAATTTGTTACTTTAAGATTCCATGCCTACATGCCCATATACCTGTCACCATTATGTTTTATGGATCTTATGGCATGACTTGTTCAGAAAAACTAAAGCTGACCTGTTTAGGCTATCACTGTTATTGACCTCAAAGGGAAATTTCATCTAAGCAAATATCTACTTTTAATATTGTCAACCCCCACACAAGACAGAAAGAAGAAAGAAAGTAAAACAGTGGACAGACCAGGCTGAACAATTCAAAAGGATTTGAAATGCTAAGCAGAATGCATTGCCCGCATTGTCTTCAGGCTGGGGTCAGTTTGCAGTTCAGTGTGAGTGGGGGAAAACAGGGCTCATCATAATCGATTGCCAAATTGTGGAGTACTGCACAAGCGACAATCATGGTGAGCAAAAGAAAACAGCTCTTTAAGATGCCAGCCTGTTCAGTGCAGCAGCGCGCTTTCTGGTTTCTGGGTGAAGTGGGCCTTTTGGAGAGGCATCAACAGGTACAAGTGCAGATATCCCATTGCATAGATCACATACAATACAATGATAAAAGCATTACAACTTTCTTCTTATGTTGATGCCTCTAGGTGTAATATAATAATGTAGCTGCCCCAATACTTTTATTTACAGTCCACATGGAGTTTGCAGCTATAACAGCCTCCGCTCCTGTGGGAAGGCTTTCTACAAGAGTTTGGAGTGTGTCTGTTTTTGCCCATTCATCCAGAAGAGCATTTGTGAGATCAGACACTGATGTTGGACAGAGGGCCTGGCTCAAAATCTCTGCTCTAGTTCATCCCAAAGGTGATCCAGCATACCTTAAATAGAAGCAAGTAGTGTTAAACAGAAGCAGGGAAAGTTGTACAACCCCATGTCCAAAAACGTTGGGACACTGTGAACAATGTAAACAATAACAAAACAATGTGCAAATCATTGAAACCCTATGTTTCATTGAAAATGCTTCAAAAGACAATACATCAAATTCTGAAACTGAGAAATTTTATGTTTTTTTTGGAAAATATTTGCCCATTTTAAATTTGATGCCAGCAACATGTTCTAAAAAAGTTGGCAAGGGGGCATCAAAAGGCTGGTAAAATTGTGTAATGCTACACCTGGTGGTAAATTGGCAACAGGTCAATGACATGATTAGGTACAAAATGAGCATCCCAGAAAGGCTGAGTGAAAGACTACATGATCAAATAGTGCAACAATTCAAGAATAAAATTTCTCAACATAAAAAAAGCAAAGAACTTTCGCTTTTCCTCATCTATGGCACATAATAACATAAAATAGATTCAGAGAATCTGGAGAAATCTCTGTATGTAAGGTACAAGACCAAAAAACAGAATTTGCCGGCCGTGAAGACAGCACTACATTAAAAACAGACATATTTCTGGGTGGAAATCACTGCATGGGCTCAGAAACACTTCTGAAAAACATTAGTAGTATCCACAAATGCTAATTAAAACTCTTAAACATAAAGAAGCAACTGTACATAAACAGGATCCAAAAACGCTGCCACCTTCTCTGGGCCTGAGCTCATTTAAAATGGACTGAAGGGAAGTGGAAAAGTGTCCTGTGGTCCGACGAATCAACATTTGAAATTCTTTTTGGAAATCATGGACACTGTATTCTCCACTCAGCTGATTATCAGTTCACAGTTCACAGATGGTATAGAGGTGCATTAGTGTACATGGCATGAGTGACATGCACATCTGTGAAGGCACCATTAATGCTGAACGATATACACATGTTTTGGCAACATAAGCTGCCATCCAGATGACGTCTTTTTCATGGAAGGCCTTGATTATTTCAGCAAGACAAAGCCAAATACCACATTCTGCATGTATTACAACAGCATGACTCTGTATTAAAAGACTCTGGGTGCTAAACTGCCCTGCCTGCAGTCCAGACCTGTCACCACTGAAAATATCTGGCACATTATAAAATGAACAATACATCAAAGGAGACCCTGAACTGTTGAGCAGCTAAAATCCTATGTTAAGCAAAAATGGGAAAACCTTTTACTTTCAAAACTACAGCAATTGGTCCTCCTCAGTTTCCAAACACTTAGAGTGTTGTTAAAAGAAGAGGTGATGAAACACAGTGGTAAACATGCCCCCGTCCCAACTTTGAACATGTTGTTGGCATCAAATTCAAAACGGGCATATATTTAAAAAAAACAAAAAACAAACAAACAAAAAAATCACATTTCTCAGTTTCAACATGTGACTTGTTGTCTTTGCATTCTATTTTTAATGAAATATAGGGTTTAAATTTTTTGCATATCATTGACTTTTGTTTTTATTTTTACTTTATTTTGTTTGTTTGTTTTTTGTTTGTTTGTTTGTTTGTTTGTTTTGCACAGCATCCCAACTTTTTTGGAAATGGGGTTGTAGATCCCAGCTACTTGCAGTTGGGCAAAAGGAATTTCACATTACGACGAAAGATGTGGCAGTGGAGGTCTTGTGGGAGAATTAATTAAAAAAATAAAAATAAAAAACGGAAACAATCATTGCTCTTTTATTTGTAAACAACCCCATTATGAACAGATTGAAATCTCTGAAGTCGCTCATAACACTGCTGGTGTTCTGAAGAATTGTCCTACCTGCCATACCGCATATACATAAGTAGAGCTCTACAAAAAATTGTGCGTAGCATATTTTGATAGCCTAAATTACCTTGTCAGACAACGCTAGTATTAAAAATGCAGGTATATATTTTGATGATCTATATCACCTTATCAGAAACCGTTACCAGCAATAAAGAGTAATTAGGATGTTTTTATAGCCTAAAACACCATCAGAATGTAAGAAGTAATATAAGGCTGATTCAGTACCGAATTAACATTACAAACACAGTAAAACGTTAGACACACGTTGCTACACTGTACTAATGGTATGCGCACTGATCGGTAGCACTGCTCGATAAGTAGTAAGCATGTTTAGGAAGTATTCCATCAATATCTCTTCCTGCACAGTTTTCTTGTACACCAGATATGCCTACCAAAACATTCTCCCTTTAGCCTCTGCTTCTCCGGCAGCAGCCGCCAGGTCAACCACATTACTGGTGCCTGCCCAAAGCATCACTGTAAGACTGTGGTCAACACCGCTAGGTTGACATCTTGCTCTAGTGACAGATCCACAAGCACCTGTGGTTCTTTCCCCTCCCACACCAAACACAGCTACATTGCAGTGATGCCTGCTGTCCAGCTGTGATGTGGGGTGAACTTCTCACCATCGCAGCACTGTAAGTGGATGTGAACCCTCTCCCTCTCACTGGGCTCCAGCTGGGCTGCACTGCTGAGCCTTGCTGCACTGTGTCACAGTTTTCCCCTTTGTCCCTCTGAGTGTATCTGTTTCTTCCTCTTTATGGTATCCATGTGTACTTTTGTTGTTGTTTTGTTCTGTGTCTCCTCCCTGGTCCTGCCCCCTTGTTATCTACTCCACCTAATCAGATGTTAAATCAGATTTAGTAAAAGCAGCTTGCAGTTGCATCCCACCTCCTCACCTC